CAACCTTAAAGTTTACATAAACTTTTAAATAGTGTTCGTGTTCACAAATATTAACGGCACAATCTTTCAGGTTAGTTACAAAACACATACACCTTCATTTTGTTTTATAGCTTAAATTAATTTGAGCACCTAACTTATTAAAGATACGTAAAGAGACAGATGTGTCATTTTAGGAGATTGATTTTAGTCTTGAAAATATGTATCTAATAGTCTTCAGAAGTACTAGAAAGTACGAAAATTGCTTAATTCCTTCGAAAATATCTCAAAATATATATACAAAATTTCGTTTCTGAGACTATAGTGACTAAGGTACGAGTGGTAAAAAACATGGCACATACCCCGCTTTAAAGAATCAGAATCAGAATGTTTTAAAAGAGCTGTCAGTAAATTAAACTCATAATACAATGATTACTCCCTACATTGACGAATGAATTAAAGGGGAGAGTCTGTTATTTTAAGAAGGTTTTGAAAGTTGTCAAAAATGAAAATAATAGACCCAAATATGTCTCCTAGCTTATCTGAAAGTTTTAACCGAAAGTATATTGCTGTTGGTAGTTCGATAGCCAACACTGTAAATTGAAATTTACAAGTATCAACCCTTTGAAATCGCTCTGTTTTTTTTTTTTTTTTTTGTTTAGGGTTGGAAAACTTGTACTGATTTAAGCAAAATAACCGAAAATGTACGGAAATGACTCTAACTAGTTCTGAGGGTTCAGCCAGAATATCGAGTCGTTAACGTAAAATATCGAGCCATTAACGTTAAACATCGAGCCATTAACATTTAATATCGAACCCTTAATGTTTAACATCGAGCCATTAACGTTTAATATCGAGCCCTTAACATTAAATATCGAGCCTTTAACGTTTAACATCGAGCCATTAACGTTTAATATCGAGCCATTAACATTAAATATCGAGCCGTTAAGGTTAAATATTGAGCCGTTAATGTTAAATATCGAGCCGTTAACGTTAAACATCGAGCAGTTAACGTTAAATATCGAGCCATTAACGTTTAATATCGAGCCATTAACGTTTAATATCAAGCCGTTAACGTTAAACATCGAGCAGTTAACGTTAAATATCGAGCCATTAACGTTAAATA